GTATGAAAAGGAAAGTCAAAAGGCAAGTTCTGAACATACCGACACCAACAGACGTCCCCTCGGGTTGAGCTCCGACAGGCTCCGGGACAGCAACAGAAGAGGGTACGTCAGCCCCTGCAGGCGGATTGCTCGCACCACTCGGCAAAGACGGGGAGGCACCACTGCTATGAAGACTTTCAGCCCCGGGAACTGTAGCAGTATCAGGCTCAACGCCTGGTCCTACAACGACACTCGTAGGTTAACCAAATGGAAATTTGGATAAGTAAGGAGAATCGGGACAAGAAAATCGTATGCATACCTGCAATCCCCCCGTCCTCAGGTACAGCCGGGATGCCAAGAGTCATAAGAGTATCGGCCCAAACGGCTGGTCCTATGATGGCACTCTTTTATTAGTCAGAATAGAAATTTAGACGAATAAGAAGGATTGGGATAGTACGGTCATCTACATACCTGTAGATCCTTCATCTGTAGGCATTTGAGGGATGCCAGCAGTCATACGAGAATCGGTCCTAGTGGCTGGTCCTATGATTGCACTCATATATTAGTCAAAAGACGGATGAACATAAGAAAGTACGATATCCCTAAATCGTATGCATACCTGCAAGCCCGTTACTCTGAGGCAAACTGGATATGCCAGGGATAGATACCGGGCTAACTCCAATGGTTGACGCTGCAATAATCAATCATTCATTGGTCAGATAAAAGATCGGGCAAGAGGAAGAAAATCAGATATATACCGGTAGATGAATCGTTCCCGAAGAATGGTCTCTCGGTCCCTCTGGAAGTCTGCTCAGCCAGCATGTCAGCTAATAAGCCGGCATCCGGCTTCGAGAAGCTTGGCCCCTCCATCGCAACATCTGCAGGGTAACCTGAATGTTGAAAGATGAAGAAAGCTCGAACGAGAAATCTTCCTTCACCTTGCTTAAGGAAAATTACATTGAATGTGGATATACCTGAACAAGGGACTGCGGGCTCGACATTATTCATCTGCTCAAGGTCGATGTTTAGGTCGATGCCCAAGGACCCGTCATGAAGAGCGTACACCAGGGGACGCCGAACCCGGTGGGAGTTCGCCCTCTTCGAAGAAACCTGGAGCACGAAACATGGTTATAAGTCCCAAAAGGTAAACAACCTTGAAGCAAGAGCAATTGAATGTTACCTCCCCCTCCATCGGCGGTGCTCCCTAGGTCCACTCCATAGGGACGCTGACCGTCATGGGGCTTATGGGCGGTCTTCTTCCTCTTCGGGGCACCAACCCTCCGAGGGCCAACGGGTCGAGCATGCGTAGGCCTATCACACGTTTCAACGTGTGTAGGAGCTGGTGGCTCAGGATCGTCGGCTGTCCTACCTAAAGTGACGATAGCCATTTCAATGAAAAAGAGCTGTCATTTATGGAAAAGGAAAATTAAAAGAGACAGGACAAACCGGGACAAACCAGTATCGAGATCCCCTCTGCCGGTATCTGCGTCCGCATACTCGTCCTCAGAGGTCTCGTCATCATCACCCGTAGGGAGAAGTTCTTCTTCGTCTGAGACAAGAGATTTGGCCTGCCCTTTTCTCCGCTTCTGAGCAAGCTCAGCTCTGCGACCGGCCATCATAGCAGCCCGGACCGCATACTCGGACTGCAACTCTGAGAGGCTCTTCACGCTGATGGACTCATAGGCAGAAAGCAGCCACTTGCAGCTGAGGAAAGTGATCAGTGGCTTACGCCTATACGAAGGAAGAGCAAAGCGAGCTCCAGTACAGCCCACCATCGTCCATAGCCACGCTCGAACGCCATCAATCAATCCTCCCTCAACCCGCAGGCTGCGGCTCGGATTCCCGACATACAGTTGGTCATAGCCGAATTGTCGAGCAAAGTAGCACTGATTCTTCACCCGAAGGACAAGATATCCTACACGGATGTTCACTAACCATCGGAAGCAACCAGCGTCGAGAATAGTCCGATCACTTCTAGGTTTCTCCTCATCAATCAGCACGTCGCCATAGCGACCTGAAAAGTGAGGGAAACACTTAAAGAACTCCCAACTCTTGCGGACCCGGAGCTCTCGCTGAACATCACTAAATTTGCTCCCAAACCATCTGCTCTGCTCCAACAATTGCATGAAGGGGACAGGGATGTCAACAACGCTGGGGGCCGACATCAAGTCGGGACGGTGAAGAACGAGCCACGCCATCAAATATGCGTAAGGGAGCTCAACCTTTGGGCAAACCAGCTCAGCTGATGGTTCAGAACCCATATGTGTAAAACTGCTAACCAGACCCCTGAGCCCGCAATGGATACTAGCAACCATTGCTGGGAGCAGGGAAAGCTCTCTCCCATAAGCCAGCTGAACTGCAGGGAAGAGCACCTCGATGGGTAGAGCGTCAGAAGGTTGGTGCGGGACGACACACTTCTTCAACCAAAGGGCAAGGTAGCCTGCTAATAGCGCCCGGGACCCTATAGACCTCTGTGCGCGGCGGAGAAAAGAGCGAAACTTTGTCCCCGCGGGAAAAGCCCCCTCAGCACTGCCGATAGTGTAGGAACGAACCTCAGCCTTTTCCAACAACTCATTAACGGCCGAAGGAGTCATCACGTCTAAT